AGGGTAGTTTCAGCATTTTAAAAAATAGAAATGTATCTTCATGAAATGAAGTTTAAATTTCCTCACTAATGAAATAGGAATGATTATTTAAAATTTTTATAAAAGTTTTTCTTTGTCATTGGACACAATCATCATGATGGAAATTTAATGTAAGTATGCCCCATGCTGGAAAAAGACTGTGGCACCAACAAATTTTTTGACAATGGCCCTGATGGAATTGATTAGAATAGATATATATGTAGGGGAAAATTCTACTCACCTGTGAATAAGTGAGTATTTATGAAATGACTGGGATCATGATAGTCTTCAATCCTGAAACTGGGACAGGATTCTACTTGGCTAAGGACAAGTGAACTATCACTACTGCCTTTTTTACCCAGCTTCTTTACTTGCCAGACCTTTAGTGGGTCAATTGTGAATATACAAGGGGACCCTCATGGAACAAGGTGTGATTGCTGTCATGTTCCTTGCTGAAATTGTTGATCATTGACAGACAAAAAGGTCCTCATACATTATTGGCACTTTAGCAAAAAAAAAAAATAAAAGTTTTGTAGTATGTTCAGGTACAAAGACTATGGATGGAGAAAGTGAACAATGGGGGTGAGACAACTAATCAGTTGTATAAGGAACTTTAATCAATAAATCTTGGTAAACCTATCTCAATTTCCTTTTCTCAACTCCAACAATTTCACTTTATTCAGTTAGTCTTAATTGTACCCTAGGATGCCGCACTTACTATAATATGCTCAGAATCAAGAATTTTCCATTCTATTGTCTTTTGAACTTATGTGTTAGAAGGATCCATTTCTTAAATGATTTTCCATTTATTGATTTTCAGATCAAAGCAAATCAAACTTTTTCATGATATTTCGTGGTTGATTTTTCAAAATTATGGTAAGACTTATTTTGTCATCCTAAACATGCCAAGGAACTGTCATATCAGTTTTCCATAGTGAAGGATATTTGTTAGTTTCCTGTGGCTTCTATAACAAAATACCACAAATAGATAGCCTAAAACAAGCATGTCAAACTCAAAGGCTAACACGGGCCAAATAAACAAAGTTTAGGTTTATGTGGGCTGCAAAAAAAAACACCCCAAAACTTCAATTTTCATAGAAACGTAGGTTTATTTTTTATTTAGTTATTTATTAAATATATTTTATTGATTTTTTACGTAGGTTTATTTTGATAGAGACATGCTGAATACAAAGGGCTGAAATAAATGAGTAATCGTTAACATAAATTAATAGAACATTTTAATAAATTTTTCTTAAACATTAACTTACCAGACACTGAATAACTGCACAAATTAATAAGCATTATGTAAATAAACCATTTTTCTTGTTCTCCAAAAATGAAATATTTCCCATTGCGCACACCAAACAAGTCAGTCCAAGACTAATGACGTGGCAATCGGCTGCTAAAATATTCACTGCTAGTATTAGTGGAGAGAAGTGGTGAGCCTGCCCATAAGGCATGTAAGGGAAATGAATACAACACGATTATGGTAATCAGTCATTAGCGAACATTGTAGTTCGTTATTAATAATCCTATATAATAAAAGCCTAATATGTAAATTGTCCCCTCAACCAGGAGTTCAACTGGGATTTCAACTGCTCGCTATAATGTGTGCTGACCACCGGGGGCGGCACAGAGCATGGCGGGCATAGGCAACGAGGCACTGACAGCGGGCGGCAGTGGAGGCGCTGCCAGCTCCAATGGGCCCTGACAAGAGCAGGGCCACGGCGGGATGGTGGAGCAGGTGAGCAGGCGGCACCAGGCCAAGGTGGGTGTGAGCAGGGCTCAATTGCCCCACCGATTGCCCCGCAGATATCGACCGGTGGCAGGGGGTGGGGCCACCACCTGGCTCCCATGCACTGAGGGAGCCGGGTGGGGGCCCGATGACTCAGGTGGAGGGGGGTGCATGGGTGCCCAGGGGCCCAGAGGTCAGCTAGGACCTGCTCTTCCATGCCAGATGGTCACTGCTTTAATTGCCAGCCAGGCCTAAGGACCACACCCATGCAGGAATTTCATGCACCCGGTCTCTAGTTATGTATAACAGGATATTATAAAAATTAAGTTACGAAATTTTTATTAAAACGTTTCTTACATACTGTTATATTGGCTGGGCCACAAAAATATTCATTGCGGGCTGCAAGTTTGACATGCTTGGCCTAAAACAATAGACATGGGTTATCTCACAGTTCTTGGAATTCTAAAATTCTGAGATCAAAGTTTCAGCAGAATTGGTTCCTTCTGGAGGCTCTGAGAGAGAACCTGTTAATGTCTCTCTCCTAGCTTCTGGTAGTTGCTGGAAATCCTTGCCTTACAGACATATCACTCCAATCTCTATCTTCATCATGGGATTCTCCCTGTGTTATCACATGGTGTTATTTTTTTAGAAAAAAATATAATAACTGACATTCAGTATTATATTAGTTTCAGCTATATAGCATAATGCTTAGACATTCATATAATGTACAAAGTGATCCCCCCAATAAGCCTAGTATCTACCTGGCACCATACATAGTTATTACTATATTATTGTCTATGTTCCCTATGTTGTACTTTACATCCCCATGATTATCTTGTAATGGGCAATTTGTGCTTACTTCTTAATCCCTTCACCTTTATCACCTAGCCTCGCCCCCCTCAATCTGACAACCATCAGTTTTTTCTCTGTATCCATGAGTCTATTTCTGTTTTGTTTGTGTCATAGAAGTAGGAAAGACAATATAGGAATCACAGAATCTTTGAACATAAAGGATTTTAGAAGTCTTTTTTTAACATGTTTGTATTGATTTTAGAGAGAGAGGAAAGGAGAGGGATAAAGAGAGAGAAAAACATTGATCAGTTGCCTCCCTTATGCACCCTGACCAAGGATCGAACACACAACCTGGGTATGTGCCCTGACCAGGAATTGAACTGGCAAACTTTCTGTGCACGGAACGATGAAGCTCCAGCAACTAAGCTGCACTGGCCAGGGTGGATTTTAATCTACCTCTCAATACAAGAATCCTTTTAAGAATTCCAGACAGATTATCTTTTAGCCTTCGTTTGAAATCTTGTAGTAATAAACCAACTCACTCACATGACAGTTCATTCTATTGTTGGACAACACCTTTTCACTCATATGTGGAATCTAATGAACAAAATGAACTAATAAGCAAAATAGAGACAGACCCATAGATAGAGAGCAGACTGACAGCTTTGCGGGGTGGGGGGGATATTGGGAGGCTGGGGGTGGTGGCAGAGGAATTGAGCCAATAAAAAGAGAAAAAACTCATGGACAGGGACAACAGTGTGATGATTGTGGGGGTTGAGCTGGAGAAAGGTGGAGGAGGGTATAGGGGGGATAAATGGTGATGGAAGGACACTTCACTTGGGGTGGTGAATACAATCCTACAATTAGAATTGTGCACCTGAAATTTGTATAATTTTGTTAACCAGTGTCACCTCACGAAATTCAATAGAAGGGGGGAAAAGGAAGCTCTTACATTAAAAAGGGGGGGTGGGGTTAGAATTTATATCTAGGTGGCCTGTTTTATTGGCTCTTCAGAATTAAAGCAAATCAAATGAGCTATTAAAAGCCATGAGTTAAGATTCTACTTCTTCATTAATCTTCATCCCTGCTCTTTGAATTATTAGTACTCCCACTACAGGATATATTTAATCTCATCTCCTAAATGAATTTTTAAAATTCACCTAGAAGCAACTATATATAAATATCCATGATGAAAATGCATGTATAGTACTTTGGATATCTATGGAGAAAACTAATTATAATTTGCCTGAAGTGTTTTTAAATATTTTAGAACATAAAAGTTGAGCTTAAAAAAATCTATCATACAGGTAGACTTCACTGTCAAATAGTTGAAATTGTGCATTTAGAAAAGGCCAGAGAACAGTAAGTACTCTGAAAAAAAGATTGTTTTGTTTTCCTTAAAGTCCATATCTCACAGATTTTCTAAAATGTGGTTCTTAACGCAAGAGTAAATAAGATTGATTTTTACAAATGCCTATGATGTATAGGTGGAGAGAATCATACATCATATAGGACTCTTGGAAACTTGCTCAACTTTCTTAACTGTGGGAGACTTAATGACCATGGTCTCTCAAAATAAATGCATCAAATTAATACAGTTATTAACTAAATCCTATAAATTGAACAATAAGCTAGATGTATGAAATTGGAGAACTCTGTGAATTACTGATGGCAAAGTAAACTGGTAACATAATTGTTCATGTCAAACTTTTAGGGAAGTGGCCAGACTAGGTACATTATTAGTGAGTATAGGAGTCAGGAGACCTGACTTGTAACTCCAGCTCTGTCATTTGCTCTGTATGACTTTGTGAAGTCACTTCACCTCTGTGGGCTTCAGATTTCCAATCTGTAAAGTGTAGTTGGACTATATATTTATAAGGTCCCTTCTGTCTCTTAAAATTTTATTGATTGTGTAAAAACATCTGCCTTCATCTTGCTAGCATGACAGTGAAAGTCATGATGGCATTCAACTTCAAAAAGACTTTAAGAAAATATTTAGGAAATTAGAGAGCTTTATTACCTAATGTTTTTATTCTTTCTGGCAACAAGAAACTCATTTTGTTCAGCCTCATCAATAGTTTCCTCTCTTCTATGAATTATGCATGCTTTATGAAGAAATGTGGAAAGCTAATTTTCCCCCGGTTTCTTGTTTTGTGTGGATAAATGATCCTCTCAGGATTTCCATGTTAATAACAACTTCCCATTGACAAACCACTCATCATAAAATTTTTCTTCTACTGTAACTACATCTTGAGACAAAACAACATAAAGAAACACTTGGTATGCTTGCTTCAGAGAAGTGAAGGAGACAGGGCCAAAAGCTACATCAACTATAAAAACTCTGTACCAATACACATTTGGAAGTACTCGACTAGTACTAAAAAGCAGACTACCAGCAAAATAGCTTTTGCTTTTGCTTCAATAATTATCATATGGCTATAAGAATATACTCTACCTTCATTTCACTTGATTTCTTGGCATGGCTCTTATGCTTGGTAATTCTCCATTGAACACAAGGGAAAAAGGACACATTTGAAAGTCGCAGACAGCTGGTTTGTGATTTTGTGCTGAGGAAGAAAATACTTTGAAATTACATTATGCAGCAAAGAAACCTAATTATACTTTCCATTTCTAGTCTTTCTCTTCTGAGAGGAAAGGTTTAGATTGCTTCCTTAACTAGACTTATATTAAATTCTGCAGTGGTTTATATCGAGTACTATTCCTGGATAATCTTTTCGTAAGTGTGAGGTCTTTGGAAAGGAAGGTACTGAAGCTAGGACTTTGGGGCTGTTGAGAGAAGTTCACTAAAACTCCCTTAAGCTTGATTTGGAATACATTCCCATATCACATGGATGAGCACAGATTAAAAATATTTTTTGAAATATGCAAGGCTGTTGATAGTGTGGAGAAAGTGGTATTTGAATTCACTATAATAGATTCCTAATGTCATTTCTGGAAGAAGTTTGATGGTATATGTAAAAAAAAAAAAGCCTTCAAAATGTGCACATTTTTGATATATTAATGCTCCTAGGAATTTTTCTTAGAGAAAAATATGGTACAGGTTGAAAATGATGTTTACTATAATGTTATTTGTAATTGTGAAAAACCTAATGTTTTCAACAAATGCCAGGACAACTGAATATCCACATGCAAATCATGAAGTTGGACTCAAACTCACTCCATATACACAAATTAACTCAAAATGGGTCAATGGCATAAATATTAAGAGCTGAAACCATTAAATTCTTAGGGGAAAAATCTTTATGATCTTTGACTTAGCAATGAATTCTTAGATATAGCACCAAAAGCATGAGCAACAAAAGAAAAATGATAAATTGGACTTTATCAAAATTAAGAACTTTTGTGCATCAAAGGACATTTACAAGACAGTGAAAGGACAAACTATAAAATGAGAAAAATATTTGTAAATCATATCTGATAAGGGTTTAATCCAGAATATATAAAGAACTCCTATAACTCAGCAAAAAAGATAAGCAATTCAATTAAAATATGGGCAAAGAAAAAAATAAAATATGGCAAAGAACTTTATGAATAGATATTTCTCCAAAGAAGATATACAACTGTCCATGAAAAGATGTTCCACAATATTAGTCATTAGAGCAATGCAAATTAAAACTAGAAAGATAACACTTTATACCCACTAGGATGGCTACAAAATAAAAGATAGATAATAACAAGTTTTGGTGAGGATATGGAGAAATAAGACCCATGTACATTGCTGGTTAGAATGTAAAATGATGCAGTGACAGTGGAAAACAGTTTGGCAGTTCCTCAAAGTATTAAACAGAATTACCATGTGATTAAACATTCCACTCCTTGAAAACAAGAACTCAAACAGTTAATGGTATGTCAATGTTCCTTGCTGCATCAACTTCTATCACCAGATGAAAGGATAAAAATGTGGTATATATATATACAGTGGAATATAATCCTATCTAATGATAGACAAACATGGTAATTGACCATACCTTCGCTATGCCTCCCATTGGCTAATCAGCATGATATGCAAATTAACCGCCAACAAAGATGCTGGTTAATTTGCATACTGCAGGCAGGGTGGGACAGCGCCATCCCACCTGCCCCGCTGCCATTTGGGCCTGCTATCTGCGACCCGGAGCGGCTGGGCGGGGCAGCAGCAATCAGCCAGCCTGCCCAGGCATCCCGTGTGTGACCCGACACGGGGCGGTGCCCCAACCCCCAGATCGGCCCTGCTGTGTGCGCGACCTGGGGAGGCGGGGCAGGCACCAAGGGATCGGGCCTGCCATCTTTCACCCGGGGAGCGGGCCTAAGCCAGCAGGTGGTTATCTCCCGAGGGGCCCAAGACTGTGAGAGGGCACAAGTGAGGCTGAGGGACACCCTCCCACCCCCTTCCCCCCACCCCAGTGCACAAACTTTTGTGCACCGGGCCTCTAGTTTAGCTATAAAAGGGAATAAAGTTCTGTTACATGATGCAACATGGATGAGCCTTGAAAACATATGCTAAGTGAAATAAGTCAGACACAAAAGGACAAACATCACAACTCCACTTAAATGAGATATTAAGAATAGACAAAGTCAGCCCTAGCCAGTTTGACTCAGTGGATAGAGCATCGGCCTACAGACCAAAGGGTCTCAGGTTTGATTCTGGTCAAGGGTACTTACCTCAATTGCAGGCTCCTCCCTGGCCCAGGCCCTGGTAGGGGTACATGCAGGAGGCAACCAATCGATGTGTTTCTCTCACATCAATATTTCTCTTTGTCTTTCCCTCTCTCTTCCACTCTCTCTAAAAATCAATGGAAAAATATCCTCCGGTGAGGATTAAAAAAAAAAAAAAAAAAAAAAAAAAGGAAGAATAGACAAAGTCATAGAGACAGAAAGTAGGTTACAAGTTACCAGGGGCTGGTGGGAGGGAAAGTTACAGGGTTTTTGTTTGGCATGATGTAAAGGTTTTGGAAATAGATAGTGGGGATGGTTGAATAATATTGTGAATATAATTATTGCATACTTAAAAGTGGCTAAAATGTGAGCTTTATGTTAAAAAAAAAAAGAAAAAGAAAACCCACTCTCTAACACTAAAGTATAAGGTAAGGCATAATTTCTCAGAGTGATTTAGAAAATGTAAATAAGTATCCTGAAGAATTAAAGGAGGAGGAAGAGGCCACAGGCAATCTATGGTCAAGTAAGTTTGGGAAACTCAGTTAAACTTGTTTCTTTAACATTGTGAAAACCCAAAATGGGAATATGGTATGGGACATTTTAAAACTGTTTAACCAAAGTTCTCTTTTTTGAGGGTCATCTTACAGGATTGCTGTAATGTAGAATACCCTTTGGGAAACATTGAGTTAAACAAATTACAGTACATTCATTCCATAGAAATCTCTGCACCCATTAAGAATGATGACACAGTCATATATCACTTGACATGGAAGGATGTTTACACTATATTGTAAAGTTAAAAAACAGTGTGATTAATGGGATCTCATTTTTGTTTTTAAAAATTATATATATATATATATATATATATATATATATATATATATATATAATTGATAAATAGCAGACAGTCTGTAAAGCTATATGCCAAAATATTCAAGTCTTTGGGAGGTGGGAAGATGGATGATTTTATTTTCATTTGCTTTTCTCTTTGTATTTTCAGATTTTTCAACATGGAATATCTGTTACTTGTATAATCAAGAAATAATAGAATTTAAAATAAATATGTTATAGGAAGTAGTTATTATGTAAGGGAAGGGATGAGAAGATCAGAACTCCCTTATCACTGTTGGACTCTTTACTTACTTCTGTTTGAATTTTCAATGAGGGAAAGTCAAAGAGCCTTTCAACTATTAGAGAGTTCTACTCATTCAAAAATTCTTTCTGATACTGAACGAAAATCTACCTTTTATCCATTGGTCCTAATTTGTCATTGGGAATGCCATGAAATAAGCAAAATCCATTTCCTCTCCCATAGATATAGACTTTTGAATATTTGGCAACAGCTACAATGTCTCCACAAATCTTTTCTCTTCTAGGTTTCCATTCTAGTCTTTTTTTCTATGAGATGGTTTCCAGACATTATTAGCATCATGGCCATTGGCCTCCAATCATTTTCCAGTTTTTCAATATCCTTCAAGCATGGAACCCAGAAATGATCACAGCACTCCACACTCTTTTTTTACATCTCATCAGTTCCTAAAAATTGTGATTTAATCAGATTCCTCTGATTAGAAGAGTAATTTCAGAATATTTCCCACTTCAGTGTGCCTATACTCTGAATTCTAGCCTGAGATTATATATGAGATAGACTCAATTATATATTTCCCTCATCTTTTAATTTCTAAAGCTATATAGATGAATAAAATATTCCACATCAATTCCTTATCTCCTGCATTTATTAAAACCTTAGTAGAGCCCTAGCCAGTTTGGCTCAGTGGGTAGAGAATCGGCCTGTGGACCAAAGAGTCCCAGGCTCAATTCCAGTCAAGGGCACGTACCTCGGTTGCAGGCTCCTCCCTGGCCTGGGCCCTGGTTGGGACTCACGCAGGAGGCAACCAATCAATGTGTTGCTTTCACATCAGTGTTTCTCTCTGTCTTCCCCTTTCTCTTCCACCCTCTCTAAAACATCATTGGAAAAATATCCTCGGGTGAAGATTAACAAAAAAACACAACAAAAAACAAAACAAAAACCCTTAGCATAATGCTCTCCAGTTCCATCCATGCTGTTGCAAATGGTAAGAATTCCTTCTTTTTTACCACAGCATAGTATTCCATTGTGTAGATGTACCACAGTGTTTAAACCACTCATCTGCATATGAGCCTAACCAATGGACACAGATAACAGAGGGGTGAGGGCATGAGTTGGGGGGTTGGGGGCAATGGGGAGATAAGGACATATATGTAATACCTTAATCAATCAATAAAATAAAACTTTAGTAGAACTTTTTACCAAACACGTAAAAGAGAATGAGAGAGCTTCCATCCTGATAGGGATGGCAAGGGAGTCCCTGCAGTCTGACCAAGGAATCTGAAGTTGTCCTTTAAGATTTTCTACTTTTTGTTCCAGTTATTGGTACCATGTTTTAGAAAGTCGAGCTGCCTCCAGATTTATTGGCCTCTCTATTGCAAGGCACTTCACAAGATGACAGTGACAGGTGATGGAGAATACATTTCTTGTCCTTGATCTGATCACAGTTCTGATCAACCTAGCATATACATTGGTCTTCTTTCCAGCCTAATAAATCATTTGCCTTTAATTCCTTTTGTTATTCCTCAAACATGGTAGGCACTATTTAAAAGAGCCTGGTGCCCAACTGGTGTGGCTCAGTGGTTGAGCATCGATCTATGAACCAAGGAGGTCACGGTTCGATTCCTGGTCAGGGCACATGCCCGGGTTGCAGTCTCCATCCCCAGTAGAGGGCATGCTGGAGGCAGACAATCAATGATTCTCATAAGTGATGTTTCTATCTCTCTCCCTCTCTGAAATCAATAAAAACATTTTAAAAATAAAAATAAAAGAGCCTGGTAAACTGTATATTCCAGCTCCATATAGCATCAAACCCAATGCCTT